ATCCCAACGAAAAAAAAAACATTCGTACTATAAAAGAATGAGAAGGTCATGTGGTCGGTTCATTTTTTTTCTTGGCGCCGACCATAAATAACTTATATAAAACAAATGTTACAATATAATAAGCAAAATGATACCGAAAAGATTATTAATATGAACTGTCCGTTCGATAAAGAGGCAAAACACTGTGGCTCTTAAATTCATTCTTTGTAGCTTATCTCATCTCGCTCATCTCCACATTTATTGGTTTTCACCGTGTCTTCGATTTGTTTGAATATCGCTGCGGCTTGTGTCAAAAGGCCGGCACGTTCGATGCCCACTTGAGCTTGCGAATATTTGCAAACGAGCATCATTGATCGGGCTCGTTCTCGTTAACCGCACACATACAAATCGTCTGAGTTACCCTTGCTTCCGACCACACAAATTAAATTTGGTTTCGACTGACGCATTATCATTATGTTTCGATCAAGCAGCCGATGCGTTTCCAATGGAAGTGCATTGGCCATCAAGCGGTAAATGGCTTCGTATAAATTGATACGTGACATGCCCATTTGCTTTGTACCAAATATCAAGTACAAATTGGTCAGGTCCAATTGATACAGTTCCCATTGCGAGAAGTGTGACGATGGTTCGCTAATCCCTTCGTCATCGCAATCATTTGATGTTGCTTCGGCCGCAGTGCTCTGCACTATTTCCTAGCCGCTCAATACTTTTTTCAAGTTTTTCGTATGTCACCGGATTCTGAATACTTTCCCACACCGCTGCAAAGGAGAATTCAAACAAAAATTGAAAATTGACACGAATTAAGCGAGAATCAAACAGGAATATGGAATCGTACCCATGGCCGTTTTGAAGCTGTTTGGGAACGATTTGTCAGTTCTTTCACGCATGAATTTCCATTGATTGTCCTCGAATTTGCACTCGATTATTTTTCCGTCCAATTGCTTAATCTGTGTCGATAATTTTGGGAACTGTGCAAACGGTTGTTCCAGCCCACCAACATATAGATTACCAACCTTCTTCGTTAGGATGCTGCAAATGAAACAACAAAACATGCGGTTAGTTTAATATTTTTTTGAGTTAAACAGGATGCAAAAAGATGGGTTGAATTGGCAATTACCCAGCTCCGCTTTCTGTGCCAATCTTCAATTTGAAGTCAACCGAATTCATGGTCAGTGGTTTCCACTTCAACACCAAATTACATTGGCCTGGAATATAAGCCTGAAACCAAACGAAGAACATGTAAAAGTTTCCCTTTGATCGATTCAATGCTAACATAAATCAATTGATGAATTAATTACTTCGAGGGATGGCTGGAAGATGAGACCGTCTGTTTCATGGCCAAGAGACTCGGTGAATTTTGGCGCGAGCAATTTTTTCGCTGCTATCACATCATAAAATTCTTTGACACGTACACCGAATGGTTCGCGATCTCTGTTGATTAGACAGTGTTGCATTGCTTTGAGGCGAGGAGCTGAAATGATAGTTTTGTAAGTACATTTCCAGATTGGATTCGAATGTTTATCATGGATTATTGGAATTCAGGAAGTGTGGGAAATTCGATTCATACCTATGATATTTTCAGTGATACATTTCAAACGGCTGAACAGTGTTTCCGAGAAAAAGGCGTACTCGATGTAGCTGTCCCCATTGTAGCACACAACATCGTATATCAAATATCTGGGTATAGTTAGACCTGTCTTTTTATCTTTGTCGATTACCATTTCACCGTCGACGAGAGTATCATAAATGTGAGT